TATTTTAATAATGACTTTTTTCTTCTCAAACCTTGTAAAAACACCCCTGGCCAAATGCCCCCAGAGGGCATCACTTCCCACTTTGATAATTACTGTAGTTACCATGTTCTGAACATCACTTTTCTCCCCAGATGTAATCTATCTAGGTGGTTGAATAAAAATATTGGGACTTTATATCTAAAAATTACCTCAACTTAGCACCAGCAAGCTTGTTAGCTAGACAGTTAACATCAGCTAACAATATTTACATATTTTCAGTATGGTTATGATGAATAAACATTCATATCTGTCTACTCGGCTAGTTAATCCAAACAATATAAAAATGTATACTGTTGATAAACAATATAAAAACAGATGTCACATAGGGCTAAATGCGTAGCATTTTAATAAAACTGATATCGTTACTACAAAAACTACAACTAAACATTAAAATAACACAGATGTTGTCTGCATTCAAGCATTTCAGTGGGCTTAAATAGATCACCCTTTACAGCAGATTTAATTCACAAACAACTGACAGTTTTGACCTAAATATGATTTTCAGTTACAATAATTAATCCTAAAATTCGACATTAGTAACTTACTTTTAACAGCATCACAAGATCTACCGACTCTTACTTGTGAATTCAGTTCACTGGAGACTCGCACTAAACGGTTCATTTGAATCAGTGAATTGTCGACTCGAGAACAGCTGCAATCGGATCATTCTAATTCGTGAATGAATTGTTTGGTGCAATTTGCGAACTGATTTAAAAGGTTCATTGAAAATAGTCACTTCGTTCTTGAATCAGACACTGCTTCTGTGTGTCGGAGCACGTGATATATTATAAGGAGTAACGATATGTTTTATGAAATGTAGTGAAGTAAAAAGTACGATCTTATGCTTTGGAATGTAGTGAAGTAAAACATTACTCAAAATAAAACTACTCCAGTAAAGTACAGATACTTGAAAAATGTACTTAAGTACAATAACGAAGTAAAACTACTCCGTTACTGTCCACCACTGAGGAGGCCATGATTGACAAAGGCCAGGGGGGCAATTTGGCCAGGACACCGGGGTTACACCCCTACTCTTTACAAGAAGTGCTATGGGATTTTTAATGACCACAGAGGACCTCAGTTTAACATCTCAGCCGAAAGACGGTGCTTTTTGACAGTATAGTGCCCCCGTCACTATACTGGGGCAGGACCCACACAGACCACAGGGTGAGCACCCCCTGCTAACACCTCTTCCAACAGCAACCTAGTTTTCCCTGGAGGTCTCCCATCCAGGTACTGACCAGACTCAACCCTGCTTAGCTTCAGTGGGCAACCAGTCTTGGACTGCAGGGTGATATGGCTGTGGCTAAATTAATTTAATTTCTTAAAATGGTGTATTCACTTGTTTGTGTATTCACTTAAAGAAAATCTACTTTTCTCTAAGGGTTTGTAACAGCATAGAATCACCATACTGTATGTTATGAAATACAAACCCAATTCCAAAAAAGTTGGGACACTGTACAAATTGTGAATGGCTGTGTAGTGGCCATCTGGGTACTGAAATGGCCAGCCTGCAGTCCAGATCTTGCACCCATAGAAAACATTTGGAGCATCATAAAGAGGAAGATGCGACAAAGAAGACCTAAGACAGTTGAGCAACTAGAAGCCTGTATTAGACAAGAATGGGACAACATTCCTATTCCTAAACTTCTCCTCAGTCCCCAGACGTTTGCAGACTGTTATAAAAAGAAGAGGGGATGCCACACAGTGGTAAACATGGCCTTGTCCCAACTTTTTTGAGATGTGTTGATGCCATGAAATTTAAAATCAACTTATTTTTCCCTTAAAATTATACATTTTTCTCAGTTTAAACATTTGATATGTCATCTATGTTGTATTCTGAATAAAATATTGAAATTTGAAACTTCCACATCATTGCATTCTGTTTTTATTCACAATTTGTACAGTGTCCCAACTTTTTTGGAATCGGGTTTGTATATGAATCAATTTCTCCACCTTCAGTGTATCCAGAGTGGATGTCTGAAATCAGCACTAAAACACACACTGTCATGCCCATGGACTGTTTTGTGTTTGTTTTCCTCCCCCACGTGCTCCATGACCCAGTTTCTCCCTTGTGTTAATCATGTTTGATTATGCCCTTATTTGGTTCTTCCTGTTCCCATTGAGTTCTATTTGACTCAGTTGTGTCTTGTTAATTACCTCTTTTAGTTCCAGGTGTTCCCCATTTAGTTCCTGTATTTAAGCCCTGTGTTTTCCTGAGTCCTATGTTCAGTCTCAAATGTCTACCCTGTGTGCTACGTGTGTGTTCACTGTAATTTTGGTTTAATTAAAGAGTGTTTCTGTTCTGGATCTCCTTGGTCTCCGCGCTCCTTCGTCTCCTCACAGTAGTGCAGCGTGACAGAAGACTGAACCTTATACAAGATGACAGAGGTGTTATTTTCCCCTGATCGAGCTGATTGATGTCGTCCTTTATTAAACTGTTCCGAGTGGAAGAAGTAAAGGAACATTTAAAGTCTCCTCGTCCAGCCCCCTCTGAAATACGTTGTGTCTCCCCAACTCACCCCACGCCAGGAACCCCCACATACCTCACCAACGGCTCCAACCACCTGTCCAACCCAAGGTACCCCCGAGTTCTCCGAAGCTCCCCCTGGTCCTCAGCCTAGAGCCGCCGGCCACTCAGAAGTCAAGCCCGCCGGCCGCTCAGCAGTCAAACCCGCCAGCCGTTCCCAAGTCAAGGCCGCCAGCTGCTGCACTCTCAAGCCAGCCGGCCGCTCAACAGTCAAGGCCACGTGCCGTTCCGCAGTCAAGCCCACCGGCCGTTCCTCAGTCAAGTCCGCCGGCCAATTCACTCCCAAGCCTGAATGCGCTCCAGTGTCGGCTCCAGCCCCTAAGTCCGCTCCAGTGTCGGCTCCAGCCCCTGAGTCCGCTCCAGTGTTGGCTCCAGCCCCTGTTTCAGCAACCAGGTTCTAGGGATCCATCCGTAGAGGTCGGGATCCACATGCAGAGGAATGAAGAAACTCTTCATATTTGTGAACTACTGTTGAACTAGTGAATATTAAGATAATGAGGACAACAACTTCATTTTCAAGATTTTAATAAATATTATCCACTGAAATACATTTAGAGACAATAATACTCACAGAGCACAAGAGGAAGTTGACTGAGCTCCATACTGACTGAATGATGACATGCAGTTAAAAACACAGATTGTGTTAAAGCCTCAAGACTTCCTGAAACCTGCAGTCAGATCTTTAGGTGTCACGGATGCCTTCTGTGGCAAAACGAAGAACACTGAGATGAGGATAACCTCAAAATAAACAGTCATTAATCCGTAATCCAAAAGGGGTAACACAAGGCAGGGAACACAAGAACCCCCAACATCGACGTTAATACCAGATGCTAGATACAGGAACATACTGGGCTTAAATACTCAAACTAAACGAGATAAGTCTGACATTACTCCCTCCTCCCGGAAGGCGCGTCCTCGCGCCACACAACATCCAACGGGGAGGGGAACCCATTCGGGGCACTCAGGAGTAGGGAACTCAGGAGGCCATGGCAGAGTAGACAGTCCAGGAGGCCATATCAGAGCAGCCTCCGAGGCCGCGGCCCCCGCCTCTACAGCTGAAACCCTACTGCCCCCCCCAAAAAAAAAATACTTGGAGAGGTTTACAGGCATCTTGGCAGGAATGGGGTCCTGAGGGTCTTCTGAGGGTCACTGGGCTAAACTCGGGGACAGGAGCCCTCCGTGTGCTAAACTCGGGGACAGGAGCCCTCCGTAGGCTACACACAGAAACAGGAGCCCTCCTTGGGCTAGGCTCGGAATCTGAGGCCCTCTCTGGGCATGACGTGAGTACAACAGCCCTCATTGGGCTGGACGTGGAGTCAGGGGCCCTCTCAGGGTTAGACTCAGGAACCGCTTCCTTAGAAGCAACAGGAGAAGCAAGCGGCTTGGGAATGGCCTCCATGGCCATGACAAGAGAAGCTGCCTGCACCAGACGAGCCTCCATGGACAAGACAAGACCGAATAGACCGAATGGAACTGTTCATATGGACATGACAAGACTTTATATATATATATATATATATATAAATTTCTAAGAATTTCTAGTTGATAGTGCCATGATTTATTAAAACCAATATATATGTGCAGTGAAGCTCAAAGGTGGTTTTCATATTTTGTTTTATTAGCGCTTCATGCAGTAACATTTAACATAATTTTCATTAATGGTGCTTGCTAAGCATCAACATTTCTTGTTGCTCATACTTGAGATTAAAGGTTTTTAATAAATCACTAACCTTAATACAGTTTTCTTAATTGCTTAAACATTAAACTCCATTATAACGGCCAAAGTGTCACAAACATAACAGCATTTTCTAGAAGATTTCTTAGAACTATTAACACTATCCTTGTGTTTCACAAATTTAAACACATATTCAGTATTTGACATCATGTGTTCCTGTTCAGTTGCATTTAGAAACCATCACAATGTTACCACAACAGGCAGCTCTCACCATGTGAATACTAGCATGCATTTTTACACACCAGTCAAAACAACAGGATTTGTAAAAATAAGCATGTGAATTCACTGGCTCTGGAAACAACAAACTTGTCAACAAATATTTAGAGATTGGCATGTAAAAGATGATACATTGTAATAAGAGGCTGTTGTTCCTTTTCTTTTACTGTTCAAGTAACAAGGTCACACTTCAAGAATTTAATAAAGCATCCGCTTCAATATTAAAGGGGGCATAACACACAGTTTCACCCAATCTCATGTTAATCTTGAGTACCTATAGAGTAGTACTGTCATAAAGAGCCATGATGGAAAAAAGCTCTCAGAAACTTGTATGAACCCGGAAGTAAGATTTTTGACACAGAAATACTCCGTCATATGTCCAAATTGTTTTTTGAAACTCTGTCCATGCTTAGCATGAGAATCCAACTCTTTAACAGTGTAAGCAACTCTGAATGCATGAAACAGCATTGTACCCCCCCTTAAAAAAAACGATATAAAACAAGGAAACATGGACAGGGAAATCTGAAAAACCTACAAGGCATAGCAGTGATATAAGTCAGGAATCTTGAGCTAGAATACGGAATATACATGCTTATACAAATTACAGTGTTGTGCTCATGTGGTTATAATGTGAAGCAGGCATACACAGAAACAGCAAAAGTTTAGCAATTGTCAATCTGAGTGACTTCTGTATTCCTTAAACTGTGAGTACAATAACTAATGGGATTCATTCTTGCATTTAAATGCAGTTATCACTCTCAAAACTTGGTCATTACAGTAAGTAAATGCCAGTAGGCAAGTAAAAGCTTGTGAATAGGATAATGAGAAATAAAGAGAAATTCAGGACGAAGCTGACATTTCTCATCATCCGAATAGAATGTCAAACAAAAGTTTCTTCCTCTTCAACAGATGTAACTGTTAATTAAATATACACATCTCAGCATTCACTTGTTTTTTTTTCATGTGTTATTTGCTACAGTAATCTTTTAACTATTTTAAAGCAAATTTGAAAGCTGCACAAGAGGTAGCTGTTTATCAATAAAATATGAATACAGTGGCTTCAAATAAATCAGTTAGACGTTTTACCTCTCATCCTGCAGCATTTGAAAATCAGCACGACTGTCACTAGCAGATATGGACAAACTGCCAGTACAGAACTGAGTGTGTGGAGGACAGAGATCTGAGATTCTGAATGAGACACTGAAAAAGACACACACAAACACTTTATCAAGCACTATATCTGAACAAGAGCATATGAAGAAATAAATCAGCTCACAGTTTCACTGACTCTCACCTGTGACAGAGATCCAGCTCTTGGGTGACACTCCTCTCTCTGGGTGTTTGCAGTAGTAGAAACCCTCATGTGACTTTGAGACAGCAGAGATGATCATCTCTGTAGTTTGATTCTGGATGAGTGATCCATCTTTATAGAAATCAGCTCTGAGGTTTGGTGGGGTTGAATATGGATATAAACAGCGTAGAGTCAGAGTATCTCCTTCAGTCACAGGATGAACAGGACTCTCCAGAATCACACCAACTACAGAAACAGAGAAAACACAAACTTTATGTAAACAGAGTAGTTGACTGCACTGTATACCTGTTACTGTTATGGTTAAATTCCCATTCCACTGCATATTGTTTTTACATATTTGCTGTGTTACAGTCACACGGTACACACGTGTGTGTGTGTGTGTGTGTGCGTGAGTGAATGTGTTGGTTTTGTATGAGGGGTCGTACAAGCCATAATTCATTCTGGCACTCTCACACACTTACATTCTCCTTTCACATACATATATTTTTGCTTTCACACACATACATTCTCCTTACACATGCATACATTTCCACTCTCACACACATACATTCTCCTTTCACGTACATATATATATATAGAATGCATGTATGTCTGAAGAAAATATGTGTGTGTAAGAGAAGAATGTATGTATGTGTGAGAGAGTAGTGGAAACGGAAGGCGTATAGTGGAAACAGATCAGACGCGAACACTTGAGTGCAAATAGCCCGCCTTGTTGATAGAGGCTATTTACAGTGGCTATTTATATGACACCCTCAAATGTGTTATAGGGATAGTTGACATTGTTCACATTCCAAGTGCCATAAAAGTCACAAAGTTTCATACCATTCCGATGAAGCTGTGATTTTTAAAAATTCTAAACAGAAAATTCTTCGTTTTTCAAAAGTGACTGAAGAGCACCAACTTCTGATATAGGGTTTTCTGAGCGCACACATCCAAAACACGTGCACAGAAAGCGGCTGTCACATGGCATGTAAGTACTAAACCAAATTTTCTGGGTTGGTATATGCACCTGGGACCCAATTATAGCACTTAAACATGGAAAAGGTGATTTTCACAATATGTCCCCTTTAAGAGTATAGATCCCAGTTAAAAAGTACACCTCTAAACTTATACCACTAATATAAGTTGTGTCCCAAATTATACACTATACACTATTCACTATTAGTCTGTGCATTATGCACTCAACTGTCAACTGTCAACTGAATGAATTATATGGTTATTTTGTCATCCAATATCAGAATCTGATAGCCACACCCTCTCCAGTATGTAATTAAAGCTGTGATAGTACATGAAGTGAGCAACATTCCCACACTTAGTTTTTTTTATGTGCATCCTCTGGGTATTTGATGTGCACTTTTTCTTTTTGGAATTTTCAGTGTGAACACACTAATCACACTATTTATGCTTTAAAAAATAAATAAAAAACCACAAATACTGGTGTCCTTGGTTTCAAAAATAATAAGGACCCCCTGCTTCCTGTACTAACCAGCATTATGCACTTACTGTAAACTGCCTGTGAAATTAATATATACAGAAATATATACTCACTGTGTACAGTGATATTAACAAGGTTATATCTATCTCCAGATTCAGACTGACACCAGTACACTCCAGTGTCTAATGGGACAGTGGAGCTGATTTTACATGTAGATCCTGTTTGTGATCCCCAGCTTGATAGTAAACAATCTTCCAGCTGCGCATGGTCTGTGTATCTTCTCACTCTCCATCTATCAGAGTTACTCTGGTCCTCACAGCTCAGAGAGATAGTGACCAATGTGAAGTGTTGTGTTCTGCTGGGACTGACGATCAGAGAGACTGGAGGAGAAACACCTGGGAAGACAGTTACAGCTACAATTTAGAAATGTTTTAAATTTGTGCATTCAATAATGAAAAAAATACTGACCAGTGATCCATAGTGGTTGTGTGTTGCTGTAGGTTGTGTAATAGGCAGGGTTTTCTCTCTCTGCTCTGCACACATAAACTCCTGTGTGTTTTAGAGCAGCAGAACTGAAAGTGTAGTTTCCTCCAGCTCCTCTGCTGCTGTCTGAGAGTGGCTTATAATGATGACTGCTGTCTGTATAAAGTGAGAATGTGCAATTGTTACCATAAATATGTATTTCTAGGTATTCTGACCTTTAAAGTGAATGTAATTGCTTTAAAAGTTAATGTCTCCCAGCTCAGCCTAGTATGCAGAGACGGAAGTCATCCATAGTCATCAAAACATCGCTATGTTTGTTTGAACATCCAGATCAGTCAGACACACCAATTGTAAGAGTTTGGGGTAGAATGTTACTAATGTAACCCACAGGCAGGTTGATTCAGTCGCATTAAAGGGATAGTTTACATTAAAAAATATTGAAAAATCAATATTAAAAAACGCGACAAAATCCATGTACTTTCTTTTCTGAGGTGAATATATGCCAAAGTTATCGCTTTCATCTGTCAACTGTCAGTTTGACTGTCATGACAACAAGAGTTCTGGAGATGTTCAGCTGTGATGAAAGTACATGGGTACTTTCTGGGATTTCTAGGCACTGTATTTGATGTCACGTTTTATTAATCAATTAGGAAAGAAGGGGGTGAGTGCGGGAGCACACATTTTTTATTGACCATATACTCATTCAAATTGTTGTCTTGATTTAAATAATCTTCTGATCCATCAAGTAATGGCTCAGTGTATCACTGTGACGAGAGGGGCGGGGCCGAGAGCCGTGGGAACGGAGCGAGGCCGGTGGAGTAATTGCGAATGCACGACACCTGCGCCACTCACCGGTCTCGAGTCTCACGGAGGAGCTCCGGAAGGATACAAAGGAGGAGTGACGACAGGGAAAGATGAGAGAGGACCAGGCCTGGATTTTATTTTGTGTTTTGGTTTTGTTTGTGCGCGACAGTCGTCCGCGAGGGGCTGTCGCGCTGTTTTGAGTGTATTTTATTATTAAAGTTTCTTTTGAGTGTTCGCCGGTTCCCGCCTCCTTCTTCCCGATCTACAAACTACGTTACAGTCACGAATCCTGTCCATGGACTTCCGTTCAATCACCACCAGAGGTCACCCTTTCATTACATTGACACTCGCACAACACAAACTGTTGCATATCACCCCTGACTACATATCCCATCATTCATTGCACTGATTGCACACAGCTGTATCACTGATTGCACACAGCACTGATTGCACAGCTGTTTCACATCACTCACTCACTATATAACACTCACTCAAACATGGAGGAAGAACGCAACACAGTGTATGTGACTGAAGTGGCGGCTGTACCAGAGCACGCTCACAAAATGGCAGCGACAGCGGAGCCTGATCGCAAAATGGCAGACACAACAGCACTCCGTCATGTCACAGCTGCCCATCTTGAGTCCAGTCAAGTCACAGTTGATCATCATGAGTCAGGTCAAGTCACAGTTCATGATTATGAGTCTAGTCAAGTCACATCAGAACTTCCTGAGTCGAGTCTAGTCACTGTTCATCTTCCTGAGTCGAGTCTAGACACAGTTGATCGTCACGAGTCAGATCAAGTCACAGTTTATTATCATGAGTCTGGTCAAGTCACAGCTGATATTCATGAGTCTAGTCAAGTCACAACTGATCGTCATGAGTCAAATCTAGTCACAGTTGATCTTCCTGAGTTCAGTCAAGTCACAACTGATCTTCATGAATCAAGTCTAGTCACAGTTTATCTTCCTGGGACAAATCTAGTCACAGTTGATCTTCCTGAGTCGAGTCTAGTCACAGTTGATCTTCCTGAGTCGAATCTAGTCACAGTTGTTCTTCAGGAGTCAGGTCAAGTCACAGCTGATCTTCCTGAGCTCAGTCAAGTCACGGTTGATCAGCATGAGACAGGTCTAGTCACAGTTGATCGTCCTGAGTCAAGTCAAGTTACAATTCATAGTCATGAGTCTAGTCAAATCACAACAGATCTTCATGAGTCAGATCTAGTCACAGTTGATCTCTCTGAGTCAAGTCTGGTCACAGTTGATCATCATGAGTCAAGTCAGGTCACAGTCGATTCCCCTGAGTCAACTCAAGTCACAGCTTCCATTGCTGAGTCAAGTCAAGTCTCAGCTGATCTGCCAGAGCCTTGTCACGTCTCAGCTGATCTCCCAGAGTCTCGTAACGTCTCAGCTGTTTGTCCCGAGTCACGTCACATCCCAGCTGATCATCCAGAGTAACATCACATCACGTCTGTTCGCTCTGAATCCTGTCACTTCCTGTCTGTTGCACCCAGATCCTCAGGGACTGTTCTTCAGTATCCCAGACTGGCTTCCAGCGTGGAGGACCCACCACTGGTGTCGGCACATGCAGCTGGCATCCCTAAACCAGCGCTCTCAAACCCTTCTGTTCATGAACTCATTCCCCTGTCTGCAGCACTTCCCATATGGGGGGTTGCTGTATGGTGTATCTGGGCCGCGTACTCCACCGCTGTTTTGCTAGAGGCAGCGGCACCGGCTACAAAATCTCCAGAGGTGGCGGCTTACGGTGCAGAACCTCCCGAGGTAGCGGTGTCCTCTGCTGTGCTCCCAGAGGCCATGGTATCCGCTGCAGTCTCTTCAGAGGTGGCGGCGCATGCTGCAGAACCTCCCGAAACGGCGGTGCTCGCTTCAGCTCCTTGCGTGGTGGTGGCGCCCAGCAACGCACTTTCAGCCTGTCCTGTTCCGGCCAAGGAGGCCATCTATGAACTCTCTGATTGTCCTGTTCCGGCCAAGGAGGCCGCCTATGAACTCTCTGCCTGTCCTGTTCCGGCCAAGGAGGCCGTCTATGAACTCTCTGCTCGTCCTGTTCCGGCCAAGGAGGCCGCCTGGGAACTCTTTGTCTGTCCTGTCACGGCTATAGAGGCCGTTTACGAACTCCCTGCTTGTCCTGTCACGACTATGGAGGCTGTCTGTGAACTCTCATCCCATCCTGTCATGGCTGTGGAGGCCGTCGGTGAACTCTCAGAGGCAGCCAGGGAGGACTTCCGTTCAATCACCACCAGAGGTCACCCTTTCATTACATTGACACTCGCACAACACAAACTGTTATATATCACCCCTGACTACATATCCCATCATTCATTGCACTGATTGCACACAGCACTGATTGCACACAGCTGTTTCACTGATTGCACTCTGATTGTCCTGTTCCGGCCAAGGAGGCCGCCTATGAACTCTCTGCCTGTCCTGTTCCGGCCAAGGAGGCCGTCTATGAACTCTCTGCTCGTCCTGTTCCGGCCAAGGAGGCCGCCTGGGAACTCTTTGTCTGTCCTGTCACGGCTATAGAGGCCGTTTACGAACTCCCTGCTTGTCCTGTCACGAATATGGAGGCATATGGAGGCTGTCTGTGAACTCTCATCCCATCCTGTCATGGCTGTGGAGGCCGTCAGTGAACTCTCAGAGGCAGCCAGGGAGGACTTCCGTTCAATCACCACCAGAGGTCACCCTTTCATTACATTGACACTCGCACAACACAAACTGTTATATATCACCCCTGACTACATATCCCATCATTCATTGCACTGATTGCACACAGCACTGATTGCACAGCTGTTTCATATCACTCACTCACTATATAACACTCACTCAAACTACCATTCTCTGCTGAGTATTGTTTAGCCTGTTCCCTGTTCTGAGTCTCTGTGTTTCCTTGTTTTGCCTTTGCCTTGCCTTGCCTGTTTTCTCGGTTTCTGATCCTTGCCTGTTTCCCTGGATTTATCCCTCTCGTCTCGCCCCTGTGATTCTGTCTGCCGATCGTTGACCTACGCTAGCCCTAGGACTATTCTTGTGTCTTGCCCGCCACATACCTGTTTGCCATTGTTCGACCCTGCCTGTTACGTCCATGTCTCTGAAATAAAAGCTTGCAGATGGATCCACACGTCTCACGTCTCGTCAGCCCCGTTACAGAGTGTTTGTAAAGTTTCCGGTGGATAAAATAAACCTCAAGACACAATTGTAAAGGATGACTGATGTGTCACAAGTAAGTCTCATCTTCTGTGGTTTTGGGTTGTTTTTTGGCTGCTTCACATTATTTATAGACAATAACCAGGTTAGGATTTTCGTTCAATAATGCATTGTTTTTTTACCAAACTATAGCATATCATATACCCCATGAACACCTGAAATATACAGCATGTGTTGCATGCTACATTCTATGATTCATTGGCATCTTTTTTCAAAAGCTTGATGCTGATCATACCCACTGCCATTATACAGTGTGGATGAGCGTGCACAGGTGGTCCGAAAAAAAATGCATACAGAATTAGAGTAACACCAGGGTGTTTAAATGAAATGGGGTATACTTTCCCTTTAAGCAGTAATTTGCTTGAATAAAACCAGTTCATTCAGATGTTATCACATGAAGCACATTATGACTTATACCTGATGAAACCGTTAGAGTGTACCAGCTGAATGTCCAGCCTGTAGAGGAGCCTTTAACCTCACAGATCAGAGTCACTGGATCTCCTTCAGTCAACCACTTCTGTGGAGAAACACTTAAAACTGCTCTGGGAACTGAATTTGACAAATGACTCATTAATAACATGTTAAACTTGTATGTGTTTATATGAAGGGATGATGAAACTCACCTGATACTGTCAGTGTAACTGCATCACTGATGTTTGATGTTCGTGATCCTCCTCTCTCTGCTCCATAACAGGAGTATTTACCTGCGTCAGACTCAGTAACAGAACTGAATATGTGTTCCTGTAGTTCACTGAAAACACTGACTGAACCGTCTTTATACCAGCTGTACTGCCAGCTAGTGACTCCTTCACCATCAATGTCACATCTGAGAGTGACTGTCTCTCCTCTGAATACATGTTGATCAGGTTCAATGGTCACTTTGGCTTTTGGTCTCTCTGTACAATGACAACAATTCACAATGAAAATAATGTGCTGTTTGCGTCACCGCAGTTACTTGATTTTGGATTACAACCTTTTATTTTTATAGGAAAATGTGCTGCAGAAATATATCATGACTTCTGCATCATGAAATGTAGCAGCTTATCACTGACTCATCAACAAGGCTGTAAATGGCTAAGGTTGTGTAAACCAAGAGGACAAGTAAAAAGAGTTAACCAATTTTACAATAACTGATGATCGAGACGGAAACTGAAATCATCTTGTTCAATCTCAAGATTTCAGAGGTATGAACATATTTCTGAAAACTCTTTGTTCACTGGAAATGTTTTGTATGTTTGTTGTTACACCTCAGAACTGTCATGTGAGTAATTTGCCTTGTAAAAAAGGTGTTTGTAATGCAACAAATGTAACGCTTATTGTATGACATATTACATGACATATTTCCTGTGTTTGGTCCAAGTGTTCAAGTAGGCATGAAGACCACAAGTCTGTGTAGAATTTTCCATTACTCCATGGGCAGAGGCGGACAAAGTACTCAACTCCATTACTTGAGTGAAAGTACAGATACCGCTGGTCAAATATTACTCCATTACAAGTAAAAGTTGTAAAGACAGATTTTTACTTAAGTAAAAGTACAGAAGTACTTGCTTTTAAAAGTACTTAAGTACCAAAAGTAAATTTGGGAAATCACTTCATGTAGCCCTACAAGAGTGATTACTGATAAACTGTCTGAAAAAAAAAGTAATGGTTTAGAGAAGAAAGAAATCACCCACTGACTTTCAAAGCTGCTACTAGTAACGACTTTCTACTTTGAGGACCTTGATAGAAATGTAGTGGAGTGAAAAGTACAATATTTGTCTTTCAAATGTAGTGAAAGTCATAAGTTTCCAGAAAAAATAATACTCAAGTAAAGTACAGATACTCAAAATGTAAGTAAATGTACTTAGATAATGTCCGCCTCTGTCCATGGGTCACACTTATGAAAACACAAGTGTTTACAAAGCTTCATTTCGCTTTTCAATATTTTGGATTTAAAAATAAACGTATTTCTGTTCTATAACAGATGACACAATGTTGTAATTGTGGTGCTTCAAATCAAGTGATAAAAAGAGTAAACATACTCATCTGTCAGGTCTGGGGTCTGATCACCTGTTCTTTGCTGTCTCTGTGTTTGGGTGTTGTTGTGTGCGTGGTTTGTTTTGACAGCTCGCCACGTGCGCTTTGTCAGCATGATTGTTTCCCCGCCCTCCTTGTTTCTCTGTTCGCAAGATTCTTGTTTCACACCAGGTTATTGTTATCTCATTAGCTTCCCCTTATAGCTCCTCGTGTGTCTCTGTCTTTTGTCAGATTGTTGTGATTATTCCCTTGCTCTGACTGTCATTGTTAGTATTGCTTACCAGTTCTGTCTTGTCTCGTTCAGGCTCCAGTGCTCGTAGCTGCCTGTATATTTTCCTGCACCTCTCTGTGCGTTCAGAAACCGGTGGGCTCCCTTCGGCATCCGCCTACCCTGGGACTCTGCGGTCTCGTTGTTGGGTTGCTCAGCCTCTCGCTCGGATTAGCGGGCTGCCCTGCCGGCTTCATCTCCACTGCCGCAGTTGCGGCTTGTTCCAGCCGCTGCTATCCACCCATCAGTGTGGTAGGGGATACTACGTCCACACGAACTGTCCGCGGAGGCGCTCATTGCCCATTTTGATAAATCTCTGTTCAATAAAGCCTCTGTTGTACCCGCACCTGAATCCAGCCTATTTCCTGACAGAACAATCTGACCACGATGGATTCAGCGGGATCGGATCCGCTTCGTTCTGCTCTCGTGCAGTGGCGGCTCGTGGGGTTTAAAATGGAGGAGGGACACTAATTGTATTGGTCTGGGATCCCTGCCGATTATTATTATTATTATTATTTTTTGCTTAACCACTTTAAAATTGCTTTTTGGTTGCTTTTAGTCAGAAAACGTAAAGAAAACGACATACATACAGCAAGATAATATAATTTCACTTACCTGGCCTATCACTTGAAGCAAACATCCATCCCTTCTTAAAAGAGAGCTGCTTGTTGCGCCATTTAATTAAACCGACTGCTGTAACGTTAGTCTATATCCAGCTTAGGCTGTTTTCCCTAAATTTGTATTTTTGACGTTACTGTTTGAATGACAGCTTGGTAAATCTGTTGGCGATCAAATATTCAATATAACGACTCATCATAAGTACTTGGTACATTATCAGCGCAGCGGCAGACGTTCAAACAAATATCACGTAATTTACGTCTCTATGATGATTGGTTGATATCAGAAGGGAGGCTAGCCTCCCTTGTGGGGTTTCTTTTCTCAACACTCCTCAGCGCTGAAAGTGAACACTCGATGCTGATTGGCTAATTT